TATATGTACGCTGAGAAAAACATAATGAATCAAAGATTTATATGTATATGTTTAATTGCATTTGCTGGTTTTTTGAGATCCGCTGAAGTGTTGAAGTTAAAGAGAAGTGATATTTGTTTTTATGATTCATACTTAAGTATTTTTATTGAATCAAGTAAAACCGATATGTATCGTGAAGGAGCAAGGGTATTTATAGCCCGAACCGGAACGTGTTTGTGTCCGGTTGCTAATTTAGAAAAATATATTTTTTGGACGGGTATCCGTCCTGGTTCAGAATGTTTTCTGTTTGGGCGTCTTACTGCTACTAAAGATGGCCATGTGCTAAGAAATCAAGACAAGCCTTTATCTTATAGTAATTTCCGAGATTTGTTTGTACAGTCGTTTAAAAAGTTAGTTGATGATGTAAATAAGTTTTGTAGCCATTCTCTAAGGGCAGGAGGAGCTACTGCTGCTGCTAATGATGGCATACCTGATAGGTTATTTAAGCGCCATGGGAGATGGCAAAGTGAAACCGAAAAAGATGGTTATGTAAAAAGTTCAGTTGATGAGAGACTCAGAGTTTCAAAATCTCTTGGTTTATGAATGTACGAACCGTAATATTGCAGCCCGTTCTTTTAGGTTCAGCCAGTCAGCCCCACTGCGAGACCAAAAAATACAATGAAGTTAGTTGTTTTGTTTCTTCCTGTCGGATGTAGTGGTTAAGGGAAATATAATTTTCGACGTTTAAGCAAAGCGAATTAGTCGAAAATTGATTTCCCTTGATAACGTAGTTCCGATAGGTGTCGTTTTGCGCACGTTTTGCACGTGCGTATTTTTCAGTGTGTAAGTCATTCAGCTTTGGGATTGACTGTCCGATACATGCGTTTAATTTTTAATTCTTTTTATTCAGATATGTGTTGAATGTCATTTTCTTTAATGACTTTTTTGACTATAAATACTTTATAAGTATTTTGGTAATCATTTTTTCTCGGAACATGGCTGTAATGTCTGATTCATGTCATACATTTATGTATTTTAGTTTGTGTTTGTGATAGGTTTCTCTCATAAAGAATATGCAAGTGTAAATGTACTTGTGTTAATGCCCACATTGGGCGGTCCTTCATGACAGGCGTGGCTGCCTTTAGAAATGCTAACGAGTGAGACTCGTTTCTGCATACATTATGCAGTAATGTATGGTATGAATATATGTTGATTGATATATATTACGTTTGATGATATGTAATTTACAATGATTGAAAGATTATATAAATTTATTTTGAATTTATAAATATATGAATTCATGTATATGTAATTGTATGTAATGTATATTACGGAATTGAAATACACGGTCGGTCAGTCAGCCAGTCAGCCCCACTGCGAGACCAAAAAATACAATGAAGTTAGTTGTTTTGTTTCTTCCTGCCGGATGTAGTGGTTAAGGGAATGGTAATTTATGTAACTTTTAAATATACCGATCAATGTTTATGGATATTGAGAAGAGAAAAATTGTGACACGTGCATTATTAAAAATAACATGTATTATGAAGAAGCGGATAAAACGTGTGTTATATCTCTTCCAAACAACCCCTCTTAACTTCTCAAGATTTTGGAAAAAATAATTAATTATTTAAGATATATTTATGTGACTTAAATTTTTCTGTTTGTATCACAGGCAAATCGGATAAAGGATATAATCAGGAATATTGAACACTAAAAATGCATTATCACCTGTTCTGATAATTTTTCAAAATGATAATTAATCTCGATTTCATGTTATAAAATTTCTTTTGATGTTATATGAACTATTTCAACAGCAAATAAGTTGACTTTTCATTTGCTAATAGATATATTTCCACATCTTCTTTAAAAAATTATGTCAGGTCCGTGATCTTAAACAAGTATCTTTTCCGTGCCTTTTTATGGCATTCTTCGCAACAAAACTATAAAGTCATCTTTTCTATATTTGTAAATAATTTTCTACCGTTTACCTTGAACTAACTCGGAATTGTCTATGAACATCTACTATATTTCTATGTATGGCGATGTATTTTTGCCCTATGCAGATTTCGCATTTGCGAGAAAATTCTAATTCTGATCGATTTTTCATAAAAAAGGTCTATAATAAACTAGAACGAGTAAGTCATCAACAACTATCAATACAATTCAATACAATACAATACAATATTTCTTTATTTTATCAAGATTACATATAATGTAACAACAGACAATTTACAAATAATATCAGTATTATAACATATGTGGGTGTATTTAACAATTTATATAGAACGAGACATGCAAAAAATATTTCGAAAACAACAGTTTATAAGAATAACGTGTCTAATGTTATGAAAGTTTTGATTAAATAGCTTTTACCAGGGGAACAGTGTAAAAACCGGGCATTTTTGCATGTACACAAATAAGTTATATTTAGAATAATTATATATTTACTATTATAAATTGTCGGGTCGGGGTGGGGGTTTAAGCTCCTATTGCTTAATATGGATTATACATAAATCTCATGAGGAATCATGCCACAGTATCAACCATATAAACACGATATTATAACATTATTATTATAAGATCAATTTTATTATTACCAATTAAAAAGTAACACATAAAATCTCAATTTGAAGTGGTTTTGATCGATTCTTCAATTATGAAAATAAGCTTCTGACAAATTGTACTTCAATACTTATGTAAAATGATGGACATACAATGTCAAAATATGATAAAGATCATTGTGAAATACGTAATGCAATAATATAGGTATCAAGTGGTATACACACTAACAACATGCAAATCCTTTATAAATGTTCTACAAGTTTTTTTAAGAGGTTGGAAAAATTGTATGAAAAATGATCACTGCAATATGTTTCGAAAGCGAATATTATGCTTCACTATTGTCGAAATTTACACGTTTACAACGATTTATACTCTAAAATTGGTGAATAAAATGTGCTTGTTTGCTTTACTTTCGGTATAAGGGAAGCAACTGCTGCCTTCAGTTTGAGCTAGTTGCAGTATGAATCATTATACTCCATATAATATATACTAGCATTATATTCCTGTTTAAATAATCATTAATATTATTTTGTTGTTATTATTTTTTATTTTAGTTATGCTCTGGTGAAATCGAAACGTTTGAAGTACTACATTTTCATATTTTTTTTGTGTTTATTTGATATGCCGATAAAATGCACTTTGAAACCATCTGAAACGTAAGCCCTAGATGTAAAACTATGTAGTATAACAAAGCATATCATAAATTTAATACGTTTTCTAAATAACATGTGAAAATTTTACAGCCATGCAAATTATGAAACACCTTAAATTATATTTATTTTGACATCCATTAAAGAGACAATATTCTTGCATATCAGACTGGCGTTTCCGTTAGTTTTACCCATGCCGGAAATTTCATCTGGCATGGGGGGTTCCAGATGAGTCGCGTGCTCTACAATGGCACGATAAAGATGACGTCATTTTACCGTTATGAATGATTTTGTAATTCATACGCTGTTGAATGAAAGTAGTTACGGTTGTAATGATATAAATTTTCATTGAAAATAAAGATAAAGAATTTAAAATATAATGGAATATGGTAGAATATGCAAGAAAAAATATCTGACATATATTTGCGGTTCGGATCGGAATATCCGTCCCTCGGTCACCCGCCCATGGGCGGTAACTCGGCAAGCCTCGTTACCGCCCAATGGGCGGGTCACCTCGGGACGGATATTCCGATCCGAACCGCAAAATATGACAGATATTATTATTCCAAGCTAAAAAAGCAAGATATACAGATAATCAAGAGGAAATGAATGATAATTAGTCTGTCTTCCCCTTGGTACGTACAAGTCTTGGAGAGACACAGATCGTCGGCAAGTTTCGCAGCTTTGTGGATGGAAACCTGGTTTTCGAACTTCGCCTGACAACTTTATTTACTTCTAATTTACTTCTGCCGATAACTTGACTGAAGCCAACGGGAATGGCCCTACGGAATAGGCACTGACGCCAATGAAAGGTGCTTCAGCTCTTATCCACAGTAAAGGCTAGAACGGCAGGCCCTTGGCTGTGCACCAAACAACCCTTATCAAAAATAACCGCTGTACAGCGACTTACTAAATACAAAAAAATGTATTGGCATCTGGTGTAGGGCAAATTTGAGCATGCAGATTATGTTTTGGACAACGTATTAAGTATAGATCCACGAGGGATTGCTTCATATATATAATTTTATTCTAGGCCATATGGTTCTGGGAAATATGTTTAACTATTTCTTCTCTTTTTAAGAAAACCTGTGCCTTCATAGCGGGGCGAATTCGACCCAATGGTCATGATTTGAACAAACTGCGTATGTCTCCATTCGGTAGGCACTAATGCTAAATATCTAACCTTTCAGTTCTCAATTTTGTTGTATTTTCACTTACACCAAACAACACTGGATTATAAGACTTTCAAGCTTTACTGGAAGAACTCAAGTTGCCCTTCCTGCATTATTTTATTTAAGGCACCAGCAGGTACCCCCACCCCCTCCCGCGTGAGTAGAACCAACGGTCTTGAGTAAGCTAGTTGGACGTCTGCCTCACCTCACATGAACGAACGTTTTACCAATATATCTGCACATAAAAATGTTTCCCTGGTGTTGAGCCAATTCGATACCAGGAGCAATTATTTGATCAAACTTGCTTGTAAGAGATACACTAGATGCAAAAGACCAAAGTTCCAGGTCTTATGGTTCTAGAAAAGAATTAAAATTTCAACAGTTTTCATTTTATTTCTTTAATTAGCTGCCATGGCAACCAAATTTCTTTACAAAATCAATTTTTTGAAAAATCTTTGGAAGTCCCTCACCTATGGAACAATCTTGCCAAGTTTGGTTCAATAACTTTATGCAACTGCAATGCAGATGCTGCATTGGTATAAAGAGCTTAAATTAACCAATTTTCTTTAAGAACAGAAACAATATTGATGGCACAATTTTGATTGGCTGCCTATTAGGGATATAATGATTAAAAACATTAAATTTTACAAGTTTTTATTTTTTTTTAAGTTTGTCATTTACAAAATAAAATACATTTTTTGTAATATGAAATATTTCCCTAATATGATAAAAGTTAAAATCATATCCTGTAATTGCTTTGAAAATACTTTTGAAAATGAACGTATTTTAAAGGAAATTAATCCCTTCTGTCCAGAAATACCTCAGTAGCAAATATTTCTTCTTACAGTGACAGAGAAATTGTAAAGGGAGGGCCCTTTAAAACATGCACGTTATAAAGTCAACATTGTATCAAGAGACCACTCAAGGGACTGCAAAAAAGCAGTCTATTAATAAAGTGATCTCTCAATAAAATTCTTGACAGTTTGAGACTAAATACAGGGTTTCCTTTTTTATACTACAAATGACAGATATAACAAGCAATTATCATAGTATTGCAAGCAATCCATAAGTCCCCTACCGGTTAGAACCCCAGCAACATTCTGATGGGCCATTATGGCCATTCAATTTTACCAGTGAATGAATGACATGAATGAACTTAAATCTTTTGAGTTCAAAGTTTGTCTATATCACAGTAATGTGTTAAGTTTCCCTGCCTAGTAAGGAAATTATGTTTATACAATCTTGTCATATTATTATGATGTGGGATTTTAAAGTAAATCCTATAAGGAATGAAGAAGTTGGAGTGAAAAATACCAATTTCTCGAAAAAAAATCTAAGTTCAAGGGGGAGATAATTCTGGAAATAGTCTTACTAGAGTATTTAACCTTCTCAAAAATGTTGAGTGATAATAAGAAACATATATATGAAGTTTGAAGTAGATACATTAGGAAATAAAGAGGTTATTAAAAAAGACAACATTTTTTTTCATTAAAATTCTAAGTTCAAGGGAGGTAATACTGATAATTTTTGTGCTAGAGTTGTAAACCTTGTCACATATGATGTGGTTGATGACTAGAAACTTATATTTAAAGTTTGAAGTAAACACCTTAAAAAATAAAGAACTAATAGTGAAAAAGCTGAAAAATTTAAATCAGAAATCTTGAAATTCAGGCTATTTGTTGCCATAGCAACTAGAATTTTCAACATAGGAAGAAAATAAAAAGATGTGCATAATCTCAAGACTGCTATCTACCCATATTTCAAGTTTCATAAAAATATTTTCAGTACTTTTTGAGTTATCACTGGATCCAGTTTAGGTGTTAAATTTGCCATATTTTCAGACTATTTGTTGCCATAGCAACCAGAATTTTCAACAAAGGAATAAAAAAAAGACGTGCATAATCTACATACTGCCAACTATCCATATATCAAGTTTCATAAAAATATTTTCAGTACTTTTTGCGTTATCGCGGGATCCAGTTTTGTGGACGGACGGACAGACGGACGGAGGGTAAACCTAAAGTTCCCTCCGGTTAAACCGGTAGGGGACTAATAACTACAAGTCATAGATATAATAACATCTTTTTATAATAACAAAAACTGTACAATATTATATATGTATTACAGTCTCATAATTACATTTATGCTTTTTAAAAAAGTCATCAATATTCTCTGTATCCCTAACATTTTATCCGTAAAAATCCAAACCAAAATGTGTTACTATAACGTTGTCTAGGCATGTTCAAACAGATCACAGATGATGTGCTATCAGAAACATACTGCGATTGACTTATTTACATTTGACAGATCTTGTTGCAACAGACATGAACAGTAACTATATGAAATACGTGCATAATCGGACACAAAAATAAAACTGTCGTTAAAATATAACTACACATTTGGTCTACTTTTGTCAAGTTGAAACACTCAAAAGCAACGATTGCCCACAGTTAAGCTGAGACGACTTTTTAAAATTAAATAAAAATAGTAAAATTTTAAACACCTGATAGTTTCACCTGGCAATCAAATGGCTTCATAGACAAAAAGCCTCAATCCTGCAAGAACAATGAAAAATTGCCATCATACTAAATAAGACCATTCTGAGCATTTCTGAAATACAGGAACACTCTTCAACTAACAAGTGATATTATTCTCTTCCGCAAATGTTGATGGGTAGACAGTATAAATCTTAGTGGGTGTTCTGTGTTAAAGAAACATAACACATTGGCTAAGGACAAGGCATGTAGAAATGAGTGGACAGAGTACCTTCACTTAAACAATCAAATTTCAGATGACATCAAACATTTTCCAAAAGATAAATACTAAAAGCAAAGTTTGGTCAATTCAAAGGCTAATTGGAGCTAAAATTTAAAAAACTAACCACCACTTATAGTTACTTGATCTATTGTGGTTATGCTGAGTACTGTTCAATGCTAAGCATTAGCTAACCATTATGTTATGCTCTGGTGATCAAATCCATGTCTAAGTTACTTATCTACTTTGTTTCAATACATGTAGTTGATAAAAACATTGAAGGCATTAAATATCAAACTTAATGACACTCATCACAGTTTAAACATCCTTAAAATTCCTCTCAAAATACTGTAAATTGTTAAAGTTGTAAGGCATATTGTTCATGTTTTAATACACGGTCTGAGGCTATTTCAACAGAAATCCAGTTTTTGCCATCTGCTTGGTGGCCAAACAACATGGGTTGCTTTTGCTGTAATGAGGCTTCTTGAAACCTAAAAGTATAAATGATAATATATATATCATAAAAATGACGATGAAAATGACTAAAAAACTGGAACTCTACTAATGAAAATACTCTTTAAAATGTCAATTTTGACTGGGGCAAGAAAAATATCGCAGGTATCAACATGAAACTTCATTCATTGATGGATTTTATTAAGGAGAAGTGTAATGACCAAGAACCATAACTGTATTTTGAGTAGTTTTTGAGAAATTGCTCTTTATATTATTCCATATTTTGATTTTTGTTTGCAGCATACCTCAAAAGGTATTGGACTTATCAACTAGAAACATCATAGATTGGAAAGAAGTGCAGAGCCAAGTACAATCAATACTTTACGAATTATGGAGTTTTTTTTCCTTTGTTTGTTTTTTCTTCAAAAATGTCCAGGACATACATCAAAAATATTATATGACTATATCAATTTCAAACTTACTAGAAAGATTGATAGATCTCAAGGAAGAAAAATGTAATGCCCAAGAACCATAAGTTATTTAGAAGTTAAAACCCTTTGGTAATTATCAATTCTATTTTTATATCTGAATTGAAAATATTGTGCTTCAACAAATGGCTATAGGTAAAGTGCAGTCTTTAAGGGCCATAACTCTCTTTTGCATATTTTTCTTTTTTAATATTACATTTAAGATCAGTCAGCTCAACTTTTCCCATAAATATTCAAATGCCAAATTCCATTTAAGATATATGGGTTATAGTAAGAAGAAATTATTACTTTAAAAATAACTTATTCTGCGAATAGTCGAGCTAAAAATTATACAAGAGGGCCATGATGGCCCTGAAGTCGCTCACCTGTATATAGGCCCCCAGAGCGGGGCGAGTTTTAAACCCCAGGGCTTTTATTTGAACAAACTTGGTAGACACCAATTAGAAGATATTTTACGCTAAACATCTAAGGTCTAGCTTGTTGAGTTTTTTTAGAAAAAGATTTTTTAAGTTTTAACTATACACATATAGTTAAAAAGCAATGACACCCCTAGGGAGGGGCAGTTTTGACCCCAGGGCTTTTATTTGAACAAACTTTGGAGACACTCACTAGAAGATGTTTCATGCTTGATATCTAAACTCTAGCTATTCGTTTTTTTGAAGATTTTTAAGTTTTTGCTATACACATATAAGGAAAATCAATGTCCCCCAGGGCAGGGCCAATTTTGACCCTAGGGCTTTATTTGAACAAACTTTGAAGACACTAACTGGAAGATATTTCATGCTTAATATCTTAACTCTAGCTATTTGGGTTTTTTCAAAGAAGATTTTATAAGTCAATGACCCCCGGGGCGGGGCCAATTTTGACCCTAGGGCTTTTATTTGAACAAACTTGGTAGACACCCATTAGATGTTTCATGCCAAATATCTAAGCTCTAGCTCTTTGGGTTCTTTAAAAAAGATTTTATAAGTTTTTACTATATGCATATAGGGAAAATCAAACAAACTTGATAGACACTCACTAGAAGATGTTTCATGCCAAATATCTAAGCTCTACCTCTTTGGGTTTTTTAAAAGAAGATATTTTAAGTTTTTTCTATTGGTTGCCATGGCAACCAGAGTTCTGCATGGAATTAAATTCTTTGAACAATTTTTAAAGGTGACAACCAAAGGAACATTCCTGTGAAGTTTGGATAAAATTGGCTCAGCGGTTTATGAGGAGATGTCATTTAAAGTAAAAGTTTACGGACCGACGGACACCGGACGAAAAGCGATCACAAAAGTTCACCCTGTCACTTTGTGACAGATGAGCTAATAAAAGTAACAATAATTCTCATCAACCTTCTTGCTAACTTAGTACTTATCAAAAATGCCATGATCTGTAAACTAAGAAAGACAACTCACTGGTCCATAGCTATTACTGTCATGACTGTATTTAGAGTTGTCTCCCTCAACCCAAACATAATTTACAGGAATATGTGTTCTCTTGTTTTTATTCTTTGACCTGAAGAATAGAAATTTATTTTTTATAAATACCAAAGAATAAAATTTACTTTTTCTTGTTACACAAATTTTCATTTGTCAGAGCAACATCAGCTAAAGTCAACTTTTTTCTTTAAAGTTGTTGTGTAAATCAATACAAGACATGGGGACTTTTTTGAGATAGCAGGACTGTGACTTGTGCCAAAGAATTTGTACATAAAAATTAAATACATAAAAAATATATGTAAAATAAATATTGTGAATGAATATAAAATATTGTACATGAATATTCTAATACTGTTAATGAACAATAATACTGTACATGAATATTCTAAGACTGTTAATGAACAATAATACTGTACATGAATATTCTAATACTGTTAATGAACAATAATACTGTACATGAATATTCTAATACTGTTAATGAACAATAATACTGTACATGAATATTCTAATACTGTTAATGAACAATAATACTGTACATGAATATTCTAATACTGTTAATGAACAATAATATTGTACATGAATAATTCTAATGCTGTTAATGAACAATAATACTGTACATGAATATTAATAACACAAATGAATAGTAATATTGTACATGAATACATATTTTTACACACTTCACTTTATTACCAAATCAAAGAGATAGGACTGTCGAGTGCATTATTATTATGATTATATAATGCATGTCATAAAAAAAAGGAAATGCTTACACGTCATGTGATACAACCCCGATAATACCAAATGATGGGTCAGAAAATTTACTTCTCTTGCCTCAAACTAGTTTTTAAAAGCATTTAAAGAAGAAGTAGATACAATTTATTAATTTTTCTTGCATTGTAGTATTATAGTATAATACTGCACAATTTATTGTTCAATCGCTTTGTAATTAATCACTCAGGTCTATCTAAGCTGTCTGCACATATGAATTTGAACCGTACATTATTCTGCAGCAATGCACTCCAAATTGATATCTATTTCCTAAATATTGTTTATATATTAATAACATTGTGTATGATGAATGAATGAACAATTTTGTGAAAGAACAAACAATATTTTTGATGAATTATAGGTTGATAAACATTGAAATGTACAATATAGAGCTGGTGAAAACCATATCGAACAAGCCTTCACAAGCTGCGTATGAGCACAAATAATGATTTCCATATTGTACCACTGTTCAATGTTAATAACTGATTTATTCTATATCTAAATTTTAAATGAGCCGCCTCATGACAAAAGCAACATAATGGGTTTGCGACAAGCATGGATCCAGACCAGCCTGCGCAAATCCAAACCCTATTACAAGTAGAGAAACTGATAGCGAAAAGCATGGATCCTGATCAGACTGCGCGGATGCGCAAGCTGGTCTGGATCCATGCTGGTCGCAAACGCATTACGTTGGTTTTGTCGTGACGAGGCTCAAATCATATTAAGGAAATACATAATCTGATTGAATACTTTGATGGATTGACAAGTCAGATCTTTTTCCCAAAATTATAGTATAGTAGTCCCGTCATGAAGACCACTTTTGGGACCACATAGAAGTGGTCTTTTAATTGAACTCAGTCTTTATTTTGTAATTTTTTCGTTTTACCGCTATGGCAATATGGTGAATTTAAAAATTGCTCATGAAAAAAACTATAAGTAGTGTTAGTTAAATCATCACACCAAGTTTGAAGTCCTAGGCTTAAGCGTTCTTTAGTTATTGATCGGAAAACCGTTTTTACCTACAAGGTCAATGTGACCTTGACCTTTGACACCATTGACCCCAAAATCAATAGGGGTCATCTGCGGGTCATGACCAATCACCATACCAAGTTTGAAGTTCCTAGGCCTAAGGGTTCTTTAGTTATTGATCGGAAACCGTTTTTACCTACAAGGTCAATGTGACCTTGACCTTTGACCCTAAAAATCAAAAAAAGGGTCATCTGCTGTCATGACCAATCACCATACCAAGTTTGAAGGTCCTAGGCCTAAGCGTTCTTTAGTTATTTGATCGGAAACCGTTTTACCTACAAGGTCAATGTGACCTTGACCAGGCCTCGACATTAGCGGTGGTCGGTTGGTCCGAGACCACCTGATTTTTGGCAAGAACCACCTAATTTTGAAAGCAACTGGTCCGTCGGACCACTTGAATTTTCTGGTTGGTGCAAGAATGGCGATTTGGACACAAAAAAAAACATGTTATAACTTTTTGTTTTAAATCATTTGTCTATGTTCATGTTTATGGTTCATTAATCTCTGATTAGTTAAAGAAGTTTTTAAGTCATCATTTAATTTTCATTTTAAAGTCGCTAAAATTTTGTTTATGCAAGTTAAAAGAGTTAAGAATTTGTGATATTAAATTTTGTAGAAAATTCATTTCAACGTTATGCCTAATAATTATGATATTGTTTGGAATATCGGATGAAACTAAAATTTCAAATACTTTAATCATGGCAGCAAAAGAAAGGAAATGGAAAATATATCAACTAATTATTTGTTTCTTATCTTTTATAACGATAAGAGATCCATTGTTTCCAGAGTAAAAAATACTTTTAAAAGGTAAAAAAATCAATGTCAAAAAATAAAAAAACCAACAAGCAACAGGGAGGTAAAAATTCTGTATTCAGAATAAATATGTGAGAAAAATAAGAAATACTATAGTTTATATATAAAGTTGGTATTTTTTATCCTTTAGATATTTTCCTTACTTACAAGGTCAATGTGACCTTGACCTTTGACCCCTTGACCCCAAAATAAATAGGGGTCATCTACTGGTCATGACTAATCACCATACCAAGTTTGAAGTTCCTAGGCTTAAGGGTTCTTTAGTTATCACTCGGAAACCATTTGTCTACGGATCGACGGACCGACAAATGCAAAGCAAGATACCCCTCTTCTTCAAAGTGGGGCATAAATATCAACTTGTATGAAAATGGATAAAGATTCATCTTTTCTTCCATTTACACATACTGTATTCAGGGCTTGAATCTTTTTGGTAACCAATAATAACAGAAAATAAATTGTGAGTTTGCTTGCTTGACAATCTATTAAGTTAATTGTTAAACTAGTAAGTTGGCCAAAAAATCATAGGCTGATGTATTTGGTTACAATACAAGCAAATTTTTGTTCAATTCCCATTTTAGCTGATTTATTTAGAAGGAAGTCAATGCTGACTATGAATGAAAATCACCAATTTACAGGCTATACACCAGTAATTGCATCAATCAGGTTTTTCTAAAGTAACAAATCACATGCTTCATTATATAGTCCACATAAATAGCCTGATTACCATCATACTGTGACCAAACAAACAGCTATCTAATAAAGTTTCCATCATCTTATTTTCCCCTGAAAAGTATATTTTTTTCATAATATGACCTGTCATTTAGTTTAATTTCCAACCAATTATTGCTATACTGTATGCGATTATAATAGCTTTTTTTATTATCACCCTGGTGATTAAAAGCATTGACAAACAGCAAAACCAATCTGCACCTCCTCCAATGTCCTCTATACATGTATAAATAACATTTGATTTTCTGTCTAGATCTCATTTAGTACTTGGTCTTTTATTTCAGTAATGAAGCACCCCAATGGTGAATATTTTCTCTGGAGAATGTTCTGTAAATGATACCCATTAGCGCCTTTTCTGCTGACCAAAGCTGTCCATCAAAGTAAATGTTACATGCCCATATGAACCCCAATGTAGCTCTTAAATTCATCAGACAAATTTATTTACGGTCTGACAACCAGAAATGTTTTCTTTCTCCACATGGACAAATGACAGACAGCAAATTTATTAACTAAATAATTGTCAGACTTTGGGGTAAAAAACAAATCTGCTTTCATAAGTTTGCACAGTACTGTTAAAGCTATGAAGTCAAGTCAATCAAATACTTTATTAGCAGAAACATTTTCTTGTTCATGGCCAAGTAACATTTTGGTTGAACAATATGTACAGAAAAGTACAGACATGTATGATGAATGCAGTTTATCATACATATTCCTTGGCATATTGTTGAAATATTGTCAGATTTCTTGGAAGTGTAGGCTGACCTTGTTAGATGTTTGTTGTTAATATAGGCAAGTCACTACTGATGCTAGCCTTTAGAGTTAAATATTTTAATATACATTCTTGTTTCTTTCAACATATATGTTGTTTTTTTATCATTCTATGGAATCATGTGGCTTTATATAAAGCTATATTTATAATAAACATGAAATTAGGTGAAGAAACTATCAATAAACCCTCTGATCATTAATTTTGTTGTAAGTAGAACATCTGAACTTTCATAAACAAGTTTTTAATTGTATACCTTTTAAGTGAGAGATTCAAACTCAAAGCATGTGGTCTTAAGGTCATCAACAATTTTAGTACTCAGCTGTCTATACAAATCATAGATGAAACTATGCTCTCAAATTACCAAGAATTACACATAGTATATATGAGCCGTGTCATGACAAAACCAACATAATGGGTTTGCGACCAGCATGGATCCAGACCAGCCTGCGCATCCGCGCAGTCTGATCAAGATCCATGCTGTTCGCTTACAAACTCTATAACAAGTAGAGAAACTGATAGCGAACAGCATGGATCCTGATCAGACTGCGCGTAAGCGCAGGCTGCTCTGGATCCATGCTGGTCGCAAACCCATTATGTTGGTTTTGTCGTGACGCGGCTCATATGTATATGGTCCTTTCAATGAACTAAGTAGGTGAGTTTTTCCAAACAAATTTTTGAACAACAACAACAGCAAAGTCATGTCATACCTTACAATATCTCCTTGGACACCAACAATTCTCTTTACTGCTAACTGTTTGGGATCATATGGGGTACTGAAAATAGAAATTTTATAAATTATAGAGGTTTTCTAGTTTCTTTACATTAAATTTCAACAATTGTGTTTAATCAAACACAAATTTTTGTCAAAAACAATATTAAATAATCTAATAATCTATTATCTTTTAAAAACTAAAAGTTAGGGGTTTCCAAATTTGTGATCATGATAACATAGATAGGGAAAAAGATCCCCCATTCATCTATCAACTAAAGCTGTGATGTCATTAAAACCGTTCCCAAATTTAGACCCAAAACATAGTAAACCTTTATTTACGGGCCGCTAAAAAATTTTCGCTATTCTTCAGTACATCTGACTGAATAAATATGCAACCGATTGACCCCCCGGATTGCAGCTGTTCTTTGGTCTGCACGGGTCACAGGGGTTTATTAAATTTTGCTACAAAGGGCAGGTTAATCTCAAATTAAAACCTTATTATAAATACCCCTACACAATACAATATTACAATATTCTTAATGAAAGAAACTTAAGAGTATAAAAAATCAATTTCCACGAAAAAAAAAAATCTGAAAGTTTGAAACAGAGAAAAAAAGATTTTTTTTTTGCAGTAACAAAAGGGAGATGAAAAGGTATTAAAGAAAAAAAGAAGATAAAACTATAAATCACTCTGAACAAAGGAAAAGAAATTCCCATGCCAATTATGACATTTAATTAATTACAGGAAGGATGAGAAGAAGGATAAATTGCTAGAAAATTCTCATTTAACTTCTTTTCTGTTTCCAGCTTTTAGAAATCAATTAGCAAACTTTAACTACCAGAACAAGAATCAACAGTTCTGTTTTCAAGTAATTCAACTTTTTTTTTCTCTATAGCTCTTGCTCTGGAAATATTTCCGGAATGTGCTAAATGGAGGTGAAATCATCATTAGTTGGGGTGATTTTTTCCCTTGATCTCTTTCAAAGTTAAGCCTATCAATTTCATTTAAACACTTGTAAAGAAAAAATGGCTTGTCAGTCGCAGTCCATTTTTAAAATGGGGACCAAAATTTCAACAGTAATTTGAGTAAATGAACTGCTTTAAATGAGTTCTTTTGAAAATATATTACTTCTACAATATGTTTAACTGGAATGATAGCAGTCTTTTGCTGACCTTAAGCAATATTGTCCTATCAATTTAAGGCTCAGTGTCTCTGCAACCTTGACCTTTGATTTACTGACCTGCATGAAATTTTCTTGGGAGCTTAGAGATCAATCAAATTTTTAACCATCTAGCTATTGGCAATTATGGCATCTGGAGCTGCTTAATTTATATATAATGTATATGTATAAATTAAGTTCTGAGGAAAATCAACCTTGACCTTAGTCATATTACTCTACAGAATGGTAACTGTCACATCAAAGTTATATGAAGTTTGACAACTGAGTGTATCAAAAGATCATTGCACTGACATGTTAAGAGTATCAAACATTTAGATTTAAAATTACACATACAATATATCTCTATTTTCAATAAATTCATAAACTGCCAAAATTATTTGTAATTCCATGATGAAGTCATTTAATATAAAGATTTTTTCCAAATAGATCATGCCAAGTGAACTTGAAACACTGCAGTTTTTCAGTTCATCATTAGACATGATCTAGTTAACAAAGACTGACGAATGGCTTTGTACCAACTTATGCTAAATATTCCCAGCATTCCCAGCAAAACAAATACAAAGGAATCTAGCAAAAATCATTACTTTTTATAAATAACAAGACATTATGTGATGTTTTCTAAGGAAAAAATAAAACAATGTAAATAAAAACAAAATTATTTACAAAAGTGCCAAGTTTCAATATAAAATCATCAGATTGTATGGTGAAGCATTTACTGACATAAAATACCATACCATACATTTCTAATAACAGTTATATGCATAAACAAGAGGGCCATGATGGCCCTGAGGTCGCTCACCTGTATATAGCCCCCCAACCCCCCCCCCCTCCCCAACGTTGCAGGGCCAATTTAACCCAAGGGCTTTTATTTGCACAAACTTGGTAGACAACCATAAGAAGATGTTTCATGCTAAACATCTAAGCTCTAGCTCATTGGGCTTTTTAAAAGAAGATTTTTTTTAAAGTTTTTACTATACACATATAGATAAAAACAATGACACCCCTGGGGCCGGGTCAGTTTTGACCCCAGGGCTTTTATTTGAACAAACTTTGTAGACACTTACTAGAAGATGTTTCATGCTTAATATCTAAACTCTAGCTATTTGGGTTTTTTCAAACAAGATTTTAAGTTTTTGCTATACACATATAAAGAAAATCAATGACCCCCGGGGCGGGGCCAATTTTGACCCCAGGTCTTTTATTTGAACAAACTTTGTAGACACTCGACACTAAAAGATGTTTCATGCTTAATATCTTAACTCTAGCTATTTGGGTTTTTTCAAAGAAGATTTTTTAAGTTTTTGCTATACACATATAAGGAAAATCAATGACCCCCTGGGCGGTGCCAATTTTGACCCCAGGGCTTTTATTTGAACAAACTTGGTAGACACCTATTAGAACATGTTTGATGCTAAATATCTTAGCCATAGCTCTTTGAGTTCTTTAAAAGAAGATTTTTTAAGTTTTTACTATATGCATATAGGGAAAATCAATGACCCCCTGGGGCGGGGCCAATTTTGACCCCAGGGCTTTTATTTGAACAAACTTGGTAGACACCTATTAGAACATGTTTGATGAAATATCTTAGCTCTAGCTCTTTGGGTTCTTTAAAAGAAGATTTTTTAAGTTTTTACTATATATTAAAGAAGATATTTAAACTTTTTTTCTTTCGGTTGCCATGGCAACCAGAGTTCTGCATGGAATTAAATTCTTTGAACAATTTTTAAAGGTGACCACCAAAGGAACATTCCTGTGAAGTTTGGATGAAATTTGCTCAGTGGTTTATGAGGAGATGTCATTTAAAGTAAAAGTTTACGGACGGACGGACGGACGCCGGACGAAAAGCGATCACAAAAGCTCACCCTGTCACTTTGTGACAGGTGAGCTAAAAATAAGTCAGAGAATATTCATGAAATAACGAATCTGATTGCATGCTGGATATTTTCCAACTATTTCACATTTTCTCGTATGTCATCTGCAAGTAGACATGCTTAGTGCATCTCTCTGTCTAACCAGTAATTGTCTAGAAAATAAATTTTACTGTAATGTTTCTACATATGATTGTAAATGCTTTTTTTCCCAAAGCATAATTCTTGAGCAGAAAACAGGTTATAAAAGTCAGTCCTAAAACAAACCTCTTTTTGGTTGAGTTTAACATCGTACAAACACAGTAGAAGTCAAATGGTGATTTTCCACATTCACTGGTGGAGAAAGACCTCAGAAGACCCTCTGTGCATAACTTCAGGCACCTGAGTAGAACCACTGACACTATGTAAGCTAGTAGCTAGATATTTTCCTCACAAGTCCCTGTTGGAATCTGAACCTACAGCTGTGCGGGGCAAGTGGTTTGAAGTCAACTATCTTAACCACTCAGCCATGGACACCCATCCTCAAACTAACAAAAGAAATCTAGACACTAAAATCCCCAGAACCACAAGAAATTAGTCTATGGGTCATGTAAATGATAAATACTGAGTGATCAGAGGAGGGAGGAGCTGACTATTTATCCCTAGAACAGGACTGACAGGTTTCTGACAAGTAAACGCTCAAAATGTCTCAAACATTCATTCATAATTATTTTGTTTTATAACCCTAGACATTAGTAGAAAATAAATGACACAATTACATGTACTGTATAAGTACATTTTTCTGCGGGAACTTTATTTCTGCTATTTCTACTGTTCATAACGACACCGCAGATTTAGACAAAGAGGAAAATGCAAAAACATTTAATGTATAATTGTGTTGTCTTTTTTGTAATATTGCATTTTTTTACCATTGTACATCGCACATAATTCAGACATCATAATATGGAGCAGTTCATCTGTTACAGCACCATAAATTATTGCTATCAATAGATTTTATGATATGGCAAATAAAACATGGTGCTATTGAAGTGCCTATCACAGAATCAATATCTTTATCTTTGATAAGGTTGGCATCTAGACAGAGTATGATAAGAAGCCAAAAAGCTTGTTTTATAAAATTATTTGGTCTGAGGCAAAAAGCAAATCATTTCAATAATATATATATATATATATGAGCCGTGTCATGACAAAACCAACATAATGGGTTTGCGACCAGCATGGATCAAGAGCATGGATATTGTTAATAAAAATATTTTTTGAAAAAAAAAAAAAAATCTTGAAAAAGCTCTAAGCGATTAAGTATGAACATGTATATGAATTAAATTACAATATTTTGTTCTAGAACATTTTAATTGTCTGCTTTATAAATACATGTTATTATATGTTACATCAAATCTAACATATGACAACAACTTCCATACAATAATAGTTCTATTGTAGTTGGTTGTTGTGTCTGATAGTAAATACACTCAACATTTATCAATATTTGTTGTATTAAAGACCAATTCACTTTAAATAAAGGAATTCCATCCATCGATAGCCTGTTATAATACAAGCTCTTTAGTTATCAACTTTAAGATCAGAGCTAAAATTCCTGTCAGATAACTATATGCTTACAATGAATGGAAGAAAAATCAAGATCATTGATTCTCAAAGCTCAGTTATTATTGCTGTTGTTTTTGGATAAAATGTTTGATTTCCAATAGAAATATGATGTATCTAAGTAGTATAAATGAAGCGATTTATCAGTGATAACAAATATAAAACTCCGGGAGACCTTTTATGTAGAGGCAATTTTCACAATGCCGCAGCAGGAACTGTTGACATAACATTGGTGCCGTGATCAAGTATGTGGCACAAATTAACTAAAAGCTTTGACAAAATTCTCACAATTGTTAAAGATTTTTATACAGGAAATTTAACAATGAATGAATATGGTTAACTGATTGCGTTCTATAATTTGCTTCAAATTTGAAATAGAATGAAACCAAATTCAAAGCAGCATGAAAAGCTTTGAAAGAT